GAAACATATAATAAGATTAGGCAAGTTAGGGTAAAAATAACAACAGAAATATATAGAGAAAGCTCTTTTCCGCGAAACATATAATAAGATTAGGCAAGTTAGGGTAAAAATAACAACAGAAATATATAGAGAAAGCTCTTTTCCGCGAAACATATAATAAGATTAGGCAAGTTAGGGTAAAAATAACAACAGAAATACATGTAATAGGATCAGGCAAGTTAAAGTAGAAATAACAACAGAAATGTATAGAGAAAGCTCAAATATATAATAACATCAGGCAAGTTAGGTAAAATAACAACAGAAATATATATAATAACATCAGGCAAGTTAAGGTAAAAATAACAACAAAAAATAAAAAAACGCTAACAAGTGATAAAAAAGCATAAACCCAATTACCCGTGTATCTAGCAGGAATAACCAAAAGAAGAAAAATGAACTGGTAAATAACAATAGGGCATTTGAAACAAATAAAACAAAATAATAAAACGAATGAAGGAGTTTAGGCATTTTCTCTCCGGGACAATTTTTCTTTTTTTCAATTTTAAAGTAATTTATTTAGTTCTTTATTTATCCTTAATTTTATGACATTTTTAATATATTTTCTGGTATTTCGTTTGGAATGTCCAATAACATTATTTTTTTACTAGTTTGAACTGTTTTACTTGTTCGCTATAAATATATTAATGCTCTAGTTTAATTTTATTGCATTCTTTCTCTCTCTTCTATTTTATTGTCTCTCTCTCTCTTTTTGCATTCAGGAATTTATTTAGATAAGTTATTCTTGTAACAATCTATACATTAGACTTATTGTTTAATAATCTTTACCTTGAGGAATGAGCCATTAACTACGAGTTTTTAGATTTCAAGAAACAGAAATTTGTTTCCATTTATGAAACCTTCTGATTTAACTGATATTGAATTAAATGTGACTAAAAAATTAACTGCCCGGTTGGCTTTCCTCCAATTTTTCAACACCATTCAAATCTAACGTGTTTTTTTTTGAATAAAACCTAAAGTAGAGGTATGTATACCCTGTCACTGAGACTGTCTGTAATCAGAAGACAGACAGGAGAAATCAAACAGTTCTAAATCTGTGTCTGTTCATATGTGGTATTGATACCTTCAAAAGGTTATGACATTAAAATACGAATTCTAGGTGAGATTTAGAACGTTCTGTGGCGTATCAGTTTAGATGTTGTGGTTCCTGTGAAAATTATATTCACAAAATGATGTTTTATAAAATCTGCAACAGATAGCAGCACTAGTGGAAATAATGAGTTCTCGCTTTTTTTTTTTGTTTCCAATTTTCTATTTGTTGTACTGAAATGTTATCTGAATATTAAACTGTAAGTATCTAACCGTCTAAGTTCACTGATATTTGACTTAACGTAAAGTTCTTGTCTGGATGACAGTTCTTAGTAATATAAGCAAAAGTATATGTGTCGAACATGATTAAAACTTGAGCTATGAAAGGCAACCAAGTATCATAATTATTGAATCTGTCTAGAAAATACAAGTGAAATTAGAACTAATAATAGAAAACAGTAACATCCACAAGTAGTTGGTAATTATGAAACAAAGTTGACTGAACAGAATATTTAAAGCATGAACAATGACGTTTAATTTGCATACTTTAAAAATTACCAGACCAGCTAATACTATTGAGATACTTTATGATATTTGCTTTATCTCCCTGAAAGGGACCAAAAACCGCCTGGAGGGGGTTACCTGTTTTAACCACTCACACCATTATACAGTAATGTGTTAACTATCAGTCAGTTAGTCAGTAGCCAACAAGATGACGTCACATTTAAATGTAATTGGTAATTATAAAACGAATTTAAGCAAAAAAAAAAGAGTTTGATGCTATTTATTTTTCTGTCGTAATGAAATATTGACCTGAAAAAATAACTTGGATTTTTCAACCGCACCTGGTGTTTGTTAAGCGTATTTGAAAATGATACACACAGTTCATTAAAAGCCTTCATTTTAATAGTAATATCGCTAAGAAAGATGCCTATTACCAAAGATTGAAGTGTAGTTTTAACGTCTTATGCATAGAACATATCATTTACCCAACCGTTCCACAGAGAGAGAGAAAATATACTGCTGTTAGGCTTAGAACAATGTTACATTGTTTTTTGTTCATTGAATTACCCTCATGTTGACTGAGTTTTATGAACTAAGGTTTGACTTAGTCAAAAATGACGAGATCGTGATTTTTATAACGATTTTTGTACATGAAAAATTCTAGACTGTAGAATAGCTATTATTATACGAAACTGGTAAAACAAATTTTCTTAAAATGTACGTTTTTTGTTTGTTTGGAATTAAGCACAAAGTTACACTATGGGCTATCTGTACTATGCCCACCACGGGTATCGAAACCCGGTTTCTAGCTTTATAAGTCCGTAGACATACCGCTGTGCCACTGGGAGGCTATACATGTATATATATTTGTATAAAAATTGATTTGATTTGATTTTACAATCGATGTATAAAATTATAGTCCGTAATAATGAAAGCATCTGTTTCGAACTTATCTGAATCTTTATCAGATATGAAAAGACAATAAAAGTACTTTATGTATAAAATTACAGTTCCGTAATAATGAAAGCATCTGTTTCGATCTTATCTGAATCTTTATCAGATATGGAAAGACAATAAGAGTACTTTATGTATAAAATTACAGTTCCGTAATAACGATTTTAGGGTTAATATTGGTCAACTCTGAGTAAAATATTTTTACTTGCAGGAAACTACTGGACTTTTACAGCATTCAGGAATTAGAGATTTACTTTTTACTAATTAATCGTTAATTGTCTTAGTGAAAGTCGAGTGAGTGTCAGATTTTTCAGTCTATTTCAGTTTAAATGGATTATTTTAGAATGAGTATTTATTGTGATTTGATTGTTTTTGAAATTAGCGCAAAGATACACGAGGCTATCTTCTCTAGCTGTCCCTAATTCTAAAGTGTTAGACTAGAGGGAAAGGTAGCTGGTCAACACCACCCACCGCCAGCTCTTATGCTACTCTTTTACCAACGAATAGTTAGATTGATCGTAACATAATAACGCCCCCACGGCTGAAAAGGCGAGCATGGTCGATGACGAGATTGCGAGTCGAGGGTCGTAACCATCAGACCTAATTTATTATGTAATTGAACGCTTTGTAGCGATACAACTGTAATTTATATCATAATCCGGAATTAATTTCACATTCGAAAACGTTTCCAGTTGTTATTATAAAATACTATAAACGTTGCGCTTATCTTAAAATAGAAACTGAATAGTTTGTTTTTGTCTTACACAAAGTGTCGTGCATGCTTAAAAGGGTGGTGTCACTCAGTACGTATGGTGGGTGGTAGGGTGCTACTACCTGGCTCCTTTACCTATGGCCAATTGTTCGAAATTGGGAACAACGGCATATAGTTCTTGTAGCTTTGCAATAAATGAAAAAGAAAATACGTATGTAAAAGAGAAGAAAAAAATCCAAACATTTTGAGAAAAAAAGAGTAAAATCCTCATGTTAGTCCTTATTAATAAGAGTTTAAAAAATGTAAAAAAAATACATGCTATTTATAAATCGTTAATATTCCATGGAATTGTGGTATTCGTTAATTATATCTGCAGGACAAGTGCGGCTAATATTAAATATCTGTTTAATAACCTGTTTAGAAACTGTGGTTCTTGCTTGTCAGCTGGTTATTTAGTAATTACTATAAGGTGGGTGTAATTAATACCTGATATTTGGATATTAATCTGTTTAGAACCTGTGTGGTTCTGCTTGTTAGCTGGTTATTTAGTAATTACTATAAGGTGGGTGTAATTAATACCTGATATTTGGATATTAATCTGTTTAGAACCTGTGTGGTTCATCTTATCATCAGGTTATTTAACCTTTGACATAGGATCAGTATGGTTTAAAATGTCACCTCTAGCTAGGTATCACTACCAAAATGACTCACATGAATCTGAGTAATGATTTAAGTGCATTTTTAAATATTGTACATGTGATCAATGACATATTTAGGACCATTGCGATTAATGGTTAGCTTATGATCAGTCACTTATTTAATACCAATTTGATTGATGCTTGTTCCTTGTTTAAGTTCATCAGTAGGGGAAGTATAATCAATAGGTAGCACATGTAGAAAAGTGTAATTCGTTAGCTATATATTCGTTACCGAATTTATCTTTAGTTATGATCCATGTAGGAAGCTTGTTTTGATTAGAGGTTAATATTAATTTTGTAGGATCTTAGCTATATATTCATTACCGAATTTATCTTTAGTTATCATCCATGTAGGAAACTTGTTTTGATCAGAGTTGATATTAATTTTGTAGGCTCTTAGCCTTATATATTCATTACCGAATGTATCTTTAGTTATGATCCATGTAGGAAGCTTGTTTTGATCAGAGGTTAACATTAATTTTGTAGGATCTTAGCTATATATTCGTTACCAAGTTGATCTTTAGATATGATCCATGTAGGAAGCTTGTTTTGATCAGAGCTTAATATTAATTTGTGTAGGAACCTCCTCAGTATATAGTTGAATAATTTAATAGGACCATTACGGTTAATGCTTGTCGTACCATCAGTCTGGTTGATACATAGTGATTAATTATTTTATGCTGGATCACTGTAGTTATCATTAAAGACAATTATCGTGTTAAAAGTATCTTTATGGTTTACTACTTTTTTTCAAACAAACCGCAATCAATATTTTTTAAGTTTTTCGTTTTAACAGAATAGTTTGTTTTGTTTCACAAGTTAAACCAATGCAACACAATCAGACGTTGATTTTACTTTGGTGGAGTTATTTCTAACCTTAACGAACCGTTAACCATGTATTTAATACGCACTCAACAATACACATAACTTCAAACTTTAGCAACTTTATTCATCACAGCATCGACCAACAACGTGCAAAAACGAACATCACCGTACACACAATACACAGCAGTACATCTGAGTCCCACTAGGTGGCGCAGTTGTATTTTCCCAGTAGTTGACGAAATACAGCTTAAAGCAGTTGCCATAAAGAATACGTTGTTATTAAATATGAAAACATTTATACAAAAATTGTACAAACAACTACTTCTGTATTTAGCAAAAGCACAGGTCTTCAGAATTCACTACCGAATCATCTGTTGCCTTTCAAGCCCTAATTAAATTATGCTTTGATTACAGCAGAATCGATTTTCAGTCAATCATCAAATAACCACTTGTTATTTTGGTGAATTTTATAATACCACACTTTACTAAATATACTTTAAATATAATATTGGTTGTACTACAAATTATAACAAAGAACAATCAAATATTAAATTCCATTTAATTGGTCAAATTCTTATTAATGTTGGCGAACATTGAAAAATAGCATTACATCAAATTATACTATACTATACGAAATATACATAAATATTAACGAATAGACAATCTGTGAGGATCAGTTAATCTAAATATATATACTTGTATAAAGATATAGGAGGAAGAAAAGGTGATAATTAACATATTAGCCAATAAACAACAAGAAACATAGAAATCCACCAGCATGTGGAGAAAACAAACTGCCAATTGTTACGGTTGGAATCTTTATTATTATTATTATTAAACAATACAATGTGAGGGAGATCAAACATTCAGTACGTATTTTTTTTCCTGTGGGAGAAATGGCAACAAGGACGAGCTCGCGAATAGGACCGCGCTATTTATTCAATCACAGGTAAAGGACCAAACAGATATACTCCTGGTACTGTAGATTCTGGACTACCTATGAACTCCGCGAAGAGATCCTGATAACGGCTCAGGTTGATTCCTCCTAAACGTCGATCATCGTCCTTAAAAGAAAAGAAAAAAGGAAACAAAGAAAGCTTTTAAAGCATTCAAATTTCCTGTACTATTGAAGCTGTCTATGAATAAATCAGTCTCATCAGTTGTGAGGTAAAAAAAAAAGAAAACAAAAGGCGGTCAGAGTGCGAAGATTGTAATTGGGTTTATTCGAATGACATCTTTTATATACTTAAAAACTAAAATCTTATTATTAAACGTATATTTAACACCCAAAATTACACCACCCATTTTGTTTACCTTGTGCTGGTATAGTTATACTGATAACCTTATTGAAAAGGGTGGAGTACATGTTTCATCGAATGTGAACGTAGATACAAATTTTGTTTTTGTCTGTCTATTAGTAGTGTTTTTAATGATAAATAATATATCTTTCATCTTTTTACCAAATGTTTAAAGAATATCTCGAAGAGAGCTGAGCCTAAAGTTGTTGACCCATTGGCTTAGTTTAAGCCTAGCGTTTCGAAGACTATAGAAAACGTTAAAATAATTACAGAGTAATAGAAAGTAAATTAGTGTGAAGAGAGAGAGAGGGCAAGGTACGTTAACAAATGTTGGCTTCCCAACTATACAAGAGTTGCTGTATAAATAGTAAGTATTTGAGGTAAAGTTTAAAATGTTTTACTCAGGCTCTCTCCGAGGAGATGTCATTAAACTTGGTATGTAACGAAGATACAAATTATTCACCGTATTTAGATTTTGTGCCTATTCTCAGTAGAATCTGCCGTTGTCTCACGAACTATTCAACTAGTTAGAGTTTAAACTTGGTATGTAACGAAGATACAAATTATTCACCGTATTTAGATTTTGTGCTGAGAATAGACACAAAATCTAAATACGGTGAATAATGTGTATCTTCGTTACATACCAAGTTTAAACTCTAACTAGTTGAATAGTTTGTGAGACAACGGCAGATTCTACTGAGAATAGGTTAGAATCTGCCGTTGTCTCACAAATTATTCAACTAGTTAGAGTTTAACTTAAATTTCTGGCTAGGGCGTTCGACTCGCAATCTGCGATTCGCGGGTTCGAATCCCCGTCATACCAAACATGCTCGCTCTTTCAGCAGTGGGGGTGTTATAATGTGTCCGTCAATCCCACTATTCGTTGGTATAAGAGTAGCCCAAGAGTTGGCGGTGGGTGGTGATGACCAGC